ACTTTGAAATGACTTTGAGGTTGGTTGTATATGAAATTTGAAATGTCAAATTTAAATCAACATCAGATATTAATGTTGAATTTTGGTTGGATATTGGTTGCTCTATAGCAATGTGTGGTTCAAACAGTTCAGGTCAAGGGTTATCGTTAGTCAAGGGCATTTCAATTTCTCTGTCTTCGAGACCCATTGCATTTCCCATTCTGTGTTGAAATGTGGGGTTTGGGGGAGACCCTTATCACTGTTTGTCTGTCAGATACTGGTAGGATTATTTCTTTCCTCTGTCTGGAGTTAACAGCCCTTTTGAGTAGTTTCAGTTCTAGCAAAATCATGATATCTTTTCATTGTCCATGTCTATATGGAGTTAGGCCAGTAGGCATCTTTAGGGCAAGAGAAATGCTTGTCTGAACAAATGACATTATTTTTAAACTGCTCGAAAAGAAATTCAACTTTTGAGTAACATTGAAGTATTTAATGTAAACCTTCAAGCCATAGAGTCCCTCAGTTACGTTACGTCAGTGCAATCCAGGGTGTAGTCATATGAGGAAAAATATTTGTCTGCACCATTCTTTAAGTCTATAGTATGTATACATATGTACATATATACAAATAATTTTGAGTCATTATCATTTGGTGTAAGACATAGAATCAAGAGTCTCTCCCTCTATATGTAATAAAAACTGATTCAGCAAAGACATGTCTGAACAATTCCAAAGGCCAGTACTATGTAGCCAATACCTTTGTAACTTAATTGCAATCATTTATATGATGCTAATCTTAATTCTTAATCCTCATCACCACTGCAAGCTGTCATTTTCATTAAGTACAGCTATTTGTGTTCTGACATAAATTCCCAATGTCCAGCGGAACATCATTGTCTCTTCATCAGGCCATTATTGTCCATTTCTATGTATGTGTTTTCATTTACATTGTTATGTAGTCTTGTTATGCAAGCAGGATATGTTGCTCTAGGAGGCTCCCTGAGGTTGAGTTTATAATCTGTTCTCCTCATTTATGTCTGAGCCCAAAACTCTGCTCATGGCTGTCTTTGTCATCTATGTATTGTTTAACCAACTAAAGACATTTTGGACTCTTAATTCTGAGCTAGTTCCCCCAACAACATATATGCTTTGACATATATATTGGTTACATCCAACTTCAAAAATATGCAATTCTTATAAATCCTCTTCTCATATAGACACAAGTAGTTATCAAGATAACATTACCACTGGTCAGTATCCAGCGCTTCAACTTGTACCGCTTCTTACCTGTGATTGCTAGTGTCAACTAGATTAACTTAAAACGATAACACTTTGGTCATGTACATTCAGTTTAGTTGATATAAGCATATATTAAAATCAATGTTTTCGATCGTCCATGCTTTGACAAATTTGGTAAGAATATGTACAGGAAAGCTGCACATACATGAGTCTTAATGATTGGTTTTGAGCCCCAATCTGGCGTCACCGATCTCTACCCACACATGAAAATCTTGAAGGAAGGTTATGTTGAAGGGAGGCCCCCAAGACAACACCACACAGGACAATTGTGACTCCTACTCTTCCTTATCAAAGTCTTTCTTCCTCAGATTGACAGGTAACATAAGAAAGGCTAAAGGTAGCTGAAAAGATGGTAGAATTTCACTGACTTTTCATCCTCTTCTATCTACACCTACCATCTCAATGGAATTATTGGAGTATCTGTTCCTTATTTGAGTAACTGTCCAAGTTTGGCAGAAGATGATAAGAACCTCTCCTGGATTAATGGTTTTCTGCTCTATCAGTGGATGAAGAACAGATGGAGCAACAAAAGTACAAACTAGGAACCATCCCTGATCATCCCTTCTCCAGGAAATCAACATTCCACTGCCATGGTTGTCTGACCATCTCATACAGCCTACAATCTGTCACCAGCCAGATTTTGGAATAGACATCCCATTTACCTTACTCTGTCTAGATCCAAGACTCTCATCATCTATGCACAGTCTTCAAGAACGTAGGAACAATGAAGTGTCTTCTCAACCCAGTTTGGACCAAACATCCAGGAAGATGGTTAACTGTAGGACACTGGTAGAATACAAGCCAGTGGCCACACACCCTAAAATCCACTTTCAACATGCCACGATTTAAAAGTATTAAGTATCAGAAAAGGAATATTTTTCTAATTTACTGTATAGCAATATCTTACAGTTGTACTGTTATGAGGGTAGAACAGTTTTATGATAAAGTCTGGAAATCTTGTTGTTGAGTTTCTGCCTTAACAGTATAAACACTGATGTATTTTTGAATGCCCTAACAGAGGTATATCCTGTTGAACTCACATGGATATTTGTGGAGTTATATTTATCACAGTGTAACGCAATGACGGAGCTTTTCCCTCTAACTCACTTGAAATGAAGTCCAACATGACTTAGACTGGTTTTTAGTGTACACAAGATCTATTGCAATTGCCCCAAGCTAGTATTGCTTTGGCAGTTTGACATGTCTTATGATCTGGGTCTCGTTTCTCAAAGCGATCGTAGCGCTAAGATGATCATAACTTCCATACTTTAACATAGACTTACGACTGTCATAGCGCTACGATTGCTTTGAGGAATGGGACACTCATGTGTTAACTATTTTTCAATATGGGCAGTGTCATGCTGTTCAATCTACCAGAAAAAGTGCCATACTTACCTGTGTGTTTCAATCTGGGATGCTAGAATCATACATGTGTCATTAACTTCATTATGAAGAATGCTCTATTACTACTGGTGCTTTGTCAAACAAAAAGCAAAACTGCAACAACTACAACTACTAATACTACCTCTATTGGTGTAAGAGGCGAAACATGGAATAGAAGTCAGAATTGCTGACTTCTTTGATTGAGTGTCATTATTCCCAGATGGTATGGATCATTCTCACTAGGTTGTCTGGTCTGGATGTGAATGCTTGCAGACAAACCTGACAAAACTGGAACAGTGGAGTGTAGTATTATACACCAAACAATCTACTACTACAGTTATTCTATTCACTTTCAATAAACATGTAGCATTTGCACCTTAGTATTACTGACACAATAGCCAACCATATTAGTGCCTCTCCACAAAGACATAAATTGTGAGATACAAGGCAATCCTATCATGTACTCAGATAATGCTCTTTTAGTTTCTGAGTTACATACCTAGGCACTAATTATTTCATATTTTTAAGAAAGTAATTTTCATTAATGGCCAAAGGATTCACTGTTTTTGTGAACTGGTGTTGTCATCAGTGATGCATGTCTTTGTTGACTTCTCTTGGTTTTGGGGAGGTATGGTATAAGTAAGAATTGCTCACCATTTTTTTTACCTTAAAGGAGAATACTGGAATCTTGCAGTAACTGACTTGGTTAATGCAAAAGTAATATATTTTATTTTGATCCAGTGTGGAGATCCAAAAAAGCATCTACTGTACCCTAAAGAAAAAAAACATAATATATAAAAACGTCAAATGATAAAGTACCTGTTTCATTCATTGTTTTTCATTTTGATGGCATCAGACTCGCTATTTGTCAGCATTATGTGCCATGAGAGTTGTTATGTATTCTCATTGGCTAACATGATGTCATTCTGAGGTTATTACCGAGCACCATAACTATTTCCATAAGCTAAAACTAGGGAAATATACATTGTCCTGACTAGTATTTTATAATTCACCAGTTTTCAGGACATAAAGTATCTCGTCGCTTATATTAGCTTGACCAGGCTGGGATCTTGTATGGAGACTTGATAATTTATTAATGAGAACTAGGATCCTAATTTTTTTCAGTGAAACAATTCCTTGCAACAATGTAATTTTTGTAGCAAACAATTTCTATTTTCCCCCTTCTGAAGCATAATTCTTTTTTTTAAAACCTCTTCTGGGACAGTCAATTTGGTTGGGTTTCTTTTAAAATCCCAGGCACCATGCAGTCACCCATTTAACACCACAGGAACTGTAATCTTATTTTAAAAACTACTGTTAGCTATGATTTTCTCAATTCAGTTCTTCTCTCATGGCTCACTCAAAAAAGATTTTCATTCTGTGGATTCTGAAGCAGTACAAGATGTTCTTCATGTCTTTCTTTACATGAATGTTAGACTGTATCAGTACGAGCCTATTTTAATCTTGCAAGACAAACTTCCAGTGAAGATGAAGAAGAAGAATCAAGCAAAACGGAAGCACCACTTGATGTCAAAATAATTATTAAATTAGACGACATCATTTATCAGGAATATTGTTTGTCCACAAAATGTGATACAGTTCCAACTAGCACATCCAGACCCATGATAAATGACCAATCCCAAGTAAAATATATTTTTTTAAATACAGCTGGATTCTAAGGTTTTAATGACATTTTTTGAGAGAAACAGTAGTTTGTGAAATAGAGCTGGATATAAGGTTGAATGAAAATCTTTGAGAAAACCATGAAAGAAGATTTGAATTGAATTGAAAAAATCATAGTTGACAGTAGTTCCTGAAATACAGCTGGATATAAGGTTGAGTGAAAATCTTTGACATAACCAATAGAGAACAATGAATATTAAATGAACCCTTAAGTCTCTTAATTAATTTAAGTAAAGCATGATGATTAACAAGTGTGCCAGATCCCACTTTATGGACATATCATTGAAGTATAGATCAGCATGAAGAACGAAAAGTTGGTAACTCTAAAGCCCTGTTGAAAAAATAAAACCTTCTTCAGTATTCTTATACAAGCAGAACAACTGTACTGTAAGATGGTGCTGAATTGTAATTACGTGAAAATAATCATGGGGCTGAATTGTAATTACACATTATCCGCAAAAGATGGAAGATGTCAGTGTGAGTCTTGTGTTACAATACAGTTGAACTACCAGTACTTGCACTACTTGCAGTGGACATAAATCCAGTTTGTTGAAATATTTTTTCCTCCAGATATTTAATTGCCAAGCAATACCAAATTTCAAGCAATAGCTACCGTACAGAATTGTTTGAATGCTAACAGTTTTTGTTGTTTTTCAGTTCAAGTACAAACGGAGAGTTTACAAGGTGATGCAGATTAACCCTCGCAAGCTCAAGCAGCTGCATACAAAGGTAACTTCTTTTGTTAATCTAATTATTGAGAATTATACTTATACCAGATTCACCATACAGTCACTGCATGTTGGTTATACAGACAGACCGTCATTTTATTAAAGTGTCACATGATATGTTACAGGTAAAACAATATTTCATATGTCTAGATAACACATATCACCCAGCCATAACATTGGCTTACGAGACACTACTAAAATAAATTAACTAAAAAAATTTACAATATACAATATTGCATTAATGTGTAATCCCCAATGATTATTTTCACCTAATTACAATTCAGCACCATCTTACAGTACAGTTGTTCTGCTTGTATAAGAATACTGTGAAACAAACTTCTCTCCCTGGCATAATTTTTCCGTTGGCATACCCAAACTTTGAGTCAATCATTTCCCCTTAAAGTAATTATTGAACGTGTATATCAAATTAAGTGGATTGTAAATAATGATTTCCATACCATTGAAAAAAACTAGCAGTTTAGGATATTATTACCCCTGCTGCTGGGGTACGATGAATGTAGTCGTCCAGGCCACACATAATAAGCAAGGTGGAGTATGTGCTATTCTGTACTGGAATCCCATTGCAATGTGGCCCTATAAAGAAACATGAAGGTTTTTCTCTGGTCAAAATGATATCAAAGGTGAATAAATGGGGTCTTTTCCAGGTACACATTGGCTGCATTATACATCTGAAGAATAACTCACTGTATCAAGATCTTCCTTATCACTGCTATTTCACCAATGATACATTCACTTTGTTGAGCTGCTTGTTATGGTGTAAGAATTCATGGTGTGAAAAAGTATTGAGATAATGTGATATTATTAAGACCATGCAGCAGCAGCTGGTATACCCTGCAGCCGACCCTGTGTCTATAAGTATTTGGCACAGACAGTGTATGTGAATTCCTCATTGGTGTGCATGTGTCATGCACTATCTGCAGATTGATCTGCAGTTTAGTGAATCTATCCGGCTGTCTCATGTAACTGTTCAGATTGTTCTAGTGCCAAGGGAGTTAATCATGGGCATTTCCAGGGATCAGTTACTGTATTCAACCCAGCCTTGTTGTCCTCTGCCGCAACGCGATATCTCATGAACTATTGTACCCAATGTCTTCAAATTTGGTGACAGCCTACATTGGGGGATTACACAGACACCAGTCGATTTGGGTGACCTTGACCTTATCTTCAAGGTCACCACGACACTTTGACCACTTTGCAAACTCTTGTTTACGCGATATCTCATGGACTGTTGTACCCAGTGTCTTCAAATTTGTTGACAGCCTACATTGGGGGATTACGCAGACACCAGTCGATTTGGCTGACCTTGACCTTATTTTCAAGGTCACAACGACACTTTGACCACTTTGCAAACTGTTGTTAACGTGATATCTCATGGACTGTTGTACCCAGTGTCTTCAAATTTGGTGACAGCCTACATTGGGGGATTACACAGACACCAGTCGATTTGGGTGACCTTGACCTTATCTTCAAGGTCACCATGACACTTAGAACACTTTTCAAACTCTTGTTAACACGATATCCCATGGACTGTTGTACCCAGTGTCTTCAAATTTAGTGACAGCCTACATTGGGGGATTATGCAGACACCAGTTGATTTGGGTGACCTTGACCTTATCTTCAAGGTCACCACGACACTTTGCACACTTTGAACGCGATATCTCATGGACTGTTGTACCCATTGTCTTCAAATTTGGTGACAGCCTACATTGGGGGATTACACAGACACCAGTCGATTTGGGTGACCTTGACCTTATCTTCAAGGTCACCATGACACTTTAGAACACTTTTCAAACTCTTGTTAACACGATATCTCATGGACTGTTGTACCCAATGTCTTCAAATGTGGTGACAGTCTGCATTGGGGGATTACGCAGACACTGCTTTATTTAGGTGACCTTGACCTTACCTTCAAGGTCACCACGACACTTTGTCCGCTTTTCAAACTTATTTAAACGCTGATATCTCATAAAACATTGCATCCAATGTTTTCAATTATGTTGACAGCCTACATTTGGTGATTATGCAGACACCAGTCATTTCAGGCATCTTTTATGTGACCAAAAAATAAAAAGTAGTAAATATAGATATTCCATTCTTTAGCGGAAGGGGACATTGCCATATCAGTGGCAAACACTTGTCTTGTGTTTGGGAGCAAGAGATAAACAAAGTAAATATATTGATTCCAGTTCTAGCTTCTTGCTGCCAATGTCTTCATTGGAGACAGCACCTGACCAATAATATATGGAAAAATTGCATGTCACTGCTAAATCTTCATTTTAAGATATTGTAACCATTTTTGCATGACATAACATTTTGTAGAATGTCATCATAGCTAATTTTCTTGAGTGTCCAATAGTATCAATTAAATACCACTATATAATGTTGTCTGCTGATTAAAGATTAAGATGATTGCTGAAAGATGATTAAAGACAATAATTACTAGTACTTGGTCAATCATTTCACAACATTATTATCTGAACAGGTGGCTAGAACATTTGTCAGATGCTTTTCCAGATAAGTCATTTTAAGAAAACAGAAAACTACATGCTATTGTGTTTTGGGAAAATGGGATTGGTGTTTAATGTACCTACTTATTTGGTGATTTACCTTTTGTATGACATAGAACAGAGATCAGAAATCTGCAGTGTTCATTATTCAGGCTGTATCTGTACTTACTATACTTTTCATCTCTAAGAAGCACATCATGCAAATCAGTGGTAAAGTTACTTAGTTAAGATGGTATTGGGTGTATCAGGATTTAATAAGAACAAACACAGAGTGGGTAAAGTATGACTTGTGTGCCTTGTAGCAGAGATATTCGTTTCGTGTTATAATTGGTGTTGTTTGTAGGCTCCTTTTCATAACCTCAAAAAGAGTAAGAACATGTTTGGTGAGTAAATAAGGGTGAGCGACCTGAGCCGGAGATCTTGTTGTGTGTGGGATGTGTAGGTATCATAGTGAGCACGTAGGTCATGCTTTTCCCACTCTGTGTTTGTTCTGTAAACACTCAGTATAGAGCTGTACTGTCATAGGGGAACGGTAGATCTTGTAAGAAAAGTGACATTTATTTGTACCTATTTTGTTGAAATTACAAGCAATTTGATTGAGTGGGCGCATTAGGTGAGGGGATTATCCATCATGATAACACCTTACACTGCAAACACTTGAGATACAAGTAGGAGGATGTAGATATTGCCGAAAGAGGCTCATGTCTTTACAAAACTGTGCCCATATTACAAAATGTACCTGCATTTGATTGAATAAATAAGGCAGCGGGGGATAAACAGAGATTTTTTGCCACAGACATATGGATATAAGTAAATGTTCTTGAGTGTTTTTTGGTTTATTTTTAATTTTTGAGTATTCCGTTTTTGATATAATTTGACATGTTTTTGTGAAGTTGTATCATGTTCGGATTAAATTTATCATACAGTGTGTTTAGAGTTGCTCATTGCTCATTTCCTCCCACATCACAATGGTGTAAGACCGACCTGACTGACTCGTGTTTTGCTTCAGCAGAATTTGCAGTGCTTAAACAACAATGGCGTGATGCAAAGGAGTTTATTGATCTTTCTTCTCATTAACTATCATGAGTGTATATTTGTTACACTGTATGACTTGGGTGTTTGTTATTATATTCATATTGTGTGGATGGTTGATGTCGTTGAGCATAGGGTTCCCTACTCCTTGTCTGGTGTCAGTTATTTGCATGACAATACATTATGGCTGGAATATTTTGACTCTTGACATTAAAATGGATTCACTCATTCACCCTCTTGTCAAATCATGGCGACAGCTTCTATGCTTTTTGTACTGTTTCCTTTTTGTGTCTGGAAATGTCAGAATTTTGTCTTAAAGCTGCATGCATGATGCTTAAAACCATGTTTATCCTACATGGACTAATGAACAAGGATCATTAATTAAATTATTTCATCAAAAAGCAAGTGTCAAGGGACATGTCCGTCAAAAATCCATTGTTTTTTCCAAAGTGTTGCAATGAGGAGTCAGTGGTGTTAATATTTACCTGTGTACTCCAGGTGTTGTCCGAGCTGTAGTTGTGATCTATACGACCTCGTCAGAGTTTAACTTGGGAGTGATAAAAAGTAGGAAGATCCATGAAATCAGTTAAGTGCATCTCTTGGAAGGACGATTTTTCTGAAATATCCTAAAAGGGGAATGTTCTGTCAATGAAACAAATATTTTGTTTTGTCCATGAGAGAAAGGGGCATGCATGGCTTTTAGTCATCACATAGGACCTATTTGATAATATGACCAGTTGGTTAAGTAAGTTTGGTTTCCATAAAGTACTTCGCATGGAAGATAATTGGTTCATAGTCTCTTGACCTTGTGCTGTTGAATTGAAGTTGGGCCTTTGGTGGTAGACTGTTTGACCTCATCGATTTCAATCAGACTCACAATTTAATGACCAACCTCTTGTTTCTTTTCAAAAGTGAACATTACTAATTGTATTGTAAAGACATTTATAATGATATAAACCTAATGATTATACAAAGGCTATAACACTACAGATTCAAAGGATAGCATACAGCTCATGAAGTCCATGAAGGAATCTGAAGTGAGACAATAGTGCAGGAGGGATGTGTTGGATGGATGGTTTCATGTTGATGTGTCAGGATAGTTTCCTTGGTGATTTGAAGTTCACTTGGTTACACAGATGCTTAGCACTTCAACAAGTTAAACTCATTTCCTCTTTCTGTGTTTCAGAGTAATCTAAAGCATTTTATCGAGCTAGTGAAGAAGGGAGACTTGGATAAGATCAACAAACTGACCAGTAAAGGCCTTGACCCCAACTTCCACGACCATGAGACTGGAGGTGAGTTGGGGATGTCATACTTGTGGATGGTCATTATACAGCTTATTCAACATGAGTGCACTGCAACATTTTACTTGGCAAGACAGATGTATTGAAAAGTATTGGTAAATTTCATAACGTCACAACAAATTGATTAGTTTTCTTTGTAACCTTAGCATCATTTTTACCCTTATATATTTCTTGATCATTTACAAGTTATGGCCATTGGCTAAAAATAGATTCAATAACATAGACCATGAAATATATAAGGTCTGCACATGTATTAAACTTAGATATATTGAAACTAGCCTGTGTAAAAATAGGGTTCCAATCCGGATACAGTTTTAATGCAAAGTATGCAAATAAAGGACAATGTGTTTGTTATCATCCCTGTAATTAAACTTGTGGTAAGTCATTGGAGGACAAATGCAGATCTGATTCTGCTTCTACACCAACTAAACCGGCTGACATCTCTGATACTGTTACATCACCTGCACACACATGTCTACTTCCTGAACCTATTCATACTCTGAATGCAGATGTAATCACTTGGACCCACTTGCCAAAGTGATCTTAGCATCATGACTGTTGTAGGCCAGTGTTAAGGTATGAGAGTCAGAGTATAACACTTTGTGTAAGTGGGTCTTTGTCAAAGTGTTCACAAGCATCATTTGATGATGCATGTTGTTTGTCTTTTCAGAAACTCCCCTAACCCTCTCCATTGCTCTGAGTAAGGAGAAGTCCCGTGAGATGATGATAATACTGGTGTCAGGTGGGGCACACCTTGACTTCCGTAACAAACTGGGTCTCACTCCCCTACACAAGGCTGCTGGACTGGGTAGCCTGGAGAACGTTAAGGTACTTGCTAGAGTTCATATGATTATTATGTATATAAATATATGTAATACATCTGGCTTGACAGTTACTGTTAATCATTTGTTGAAATACAGGGGTTAATATGGCACAGACTACTGTTATCCTGTTATACTTCTGGAAAAGATATAGAAAAACCAGCACTCTGGGATGAAGATAAAACTGTGATGTAACAAAGTTACCTTGCAGCCTACCATATCAGACAAACAACCAAATTGATCTTGTTTATGAACTTTCAATTCTAACCAAAGTTGATCACATGAACATTACTTAAGACCTATATCTAATTGCTAAGAAATTTGGATTGCATGTTTTTCAAAACTACCAAAGTCAACTAAAACATTTTAAGAGGTTCATTGCTGAAAAAAAAGATGAAAGAAAGGCACGCTTTGATTTTTCCTTTGAAATAGAAATCAAAGAATTACTTCCCTTCTACTCTGAGGTTTTTGGTGACTGACATTTAACATATTCTATGGGAAGAATAAAAGAATATTTTTTTTCAACTCTGCACTTGTGAAATGTTTGGTCTACGGATGAGTAAACCAAGTAATAAAAACCTCACCAAAAATGTATGGTAATGTAGTGATGAATTGTTGTAATACTGTCAGACTCTCCTGGACCTGGGGGCCTCACCTAACTACAAGGATCTACGTGGTCTCACTCCTCTCTACTATGCTGTGTGTAATGAAACCAACCCTCTGTGTACAGAGATGCTCCTGCATGAAAGAGCTTTCATTGGATTGCAAGATGAGCAGGGCTGGTTTGAGATACACCAGGTGGGACATTAGTGTTAAGCCAAACAAGTACAATACTATCAGAACCCTGTATCACTCACAAGCTGTATTCAGCAAACATCCCCTTATTTACATGTAGGATATCTGATTAATTATGAAACACATGTTATAATCGGTATAGTTTTCAAATGAACTCCCTGGATAATGAAAGACTGTCGGCTTTCTTATCTGTTAGTAGGTATCAGGATTCTTCACAGGATTTTTATCTGAGTATTGTCAGAATTTCCAAACACAATTTCCCTCCATCAACTCTTAATATTGTTATGATATATAATGATAGTATGATTAATATTGAACTGTCTTGAAGCAGTTAATTTCTGAAAAGTCATTGTTTTCATTTGTCAGCCAGAACTGTAAATCTGAATGAAAACCTGTTTTGTTTTTTCCTGCATGATAGCCACATTAACTTCATGTATTATCCCATGTTTTCTACCATGCTGAATGTTCCATGTTGCTATGTTCCAGGCCTGTAAGTACGGCCATGTGCAGCATTTGGAACATCTGCTGTACTATGGGGCAGACATGGATGTTCAGAATGCTAGTGGGAACACTCCTCTACATGTGTGTGCTGTTTTCAACCAGGTAGGAAATACTAGGAATTCTCATCTTAAATAGAACTAACAACATAGTCTGCAATTTTAACCACTTGTCAGAGCGTGAGTCAATTAAAATTTCTTGAGGCCTAGTTCATCTGATACTAGTAAATAAAGTAATACTAACATCTACTTAGGATAATGCCAAAGACTATTTGCCTCTAGGCACTACTGCATGGATCAATCATAGATATTCAGTTCTTTAACTGACATTGAAAGAGATATGGAAGGACTAGTCTCTTGCAGATGGCTTCTGATGTGCAGATGTTCTGGTGTCAGGGCTTAGTCAAACAGTGGCACTGAAAGTGGATTTTATGAGGGCTTCACATTCAGTGGATGTTATTTTCTTCCATGTTTCGAATTTGTACATGTGTTATTTTTGTAGACAAAGTGAGAGCATGAATATGGCTTTTCACTGCTTTTAGCAATATTCCAGCTATAGAATTCCAGAAATTAGTTCCACACATTGTACCCATGTCGGGAATCAAGCCCAGGTCTTTTGTCTTTTGTGTGATATGTGAATGCTTTAACCACAAGGCTACCTCAGCGCCCCCTTTCAGACTAAGAATTTGTATAATTTCTAAATGTCAAGGAACTGTACAAATGTTGATAAGTTTTCATATTTGGAGGTTTTATTACTTGGAGTAAGTTCGTTGGGGTTTTATTCCTCTTTATACAATATTTCAGCAAATCGCAGTATGTCAGATTTTTGTGGAAGAAAAACCCAGGGTGACTTAAGTAATGAGTTGTTCTAACTTATGTTTTACACTGAGCTTGATTTTGGTGCCTATTTATCAAATGACACAGCAGAAGGTGGTAGGTGAAAGTTGCACTGCCTACACCCCTGATGAGGTGTAGGTCATATGACATTGCAAATGTTATGAGGTTAAGAATGATTACAAATTTTTATGGATATACAACTTCTTTTATTCTGTGAAGGCAACGTTTCGACATAGATTCTAATGTCGTTGTCAAGCAAGTGATACATGAGAAATGAATAGAGACTATATACATGAGTTGTTATTACAATAGATTGGGGATGAGTTGTTTGTACAGTAAATGAGGTTGTACAACGCTTGTATAGGAGATTGAGTAAGTTGATTGGAAGCCAGTTAGGTGACATACAAGGATTGAATTAGAGCTTATACAAGCTTCTTGGCTTCAACAGTCAGTGATTGTTTCCCATTCAAATAGACTCACTCCTGTCTGAGAATATGCCTCCACTGTTGCCAGGAATCGTGTGCACGGGTGTTGCTGTTTCGGGGCTGCAGCAAGGAGATCCTCAACTACAACAACCAGACAGCGTTCCAGATTGCCATCATTGCCAACAACATTGACCTTGCCGAGATCATCAAGAATAATAAACCAGAGGATGCTGGTCTGTTTTATATCAGACCTTATTTGATGTCACCTAAATATTATGTTGCTTATTGCCCACACTGAATAATTATATTGGCCTTTTGTTATACCTATATTTGTTACAACACAATTTATCTTTAACATAGCATGCAAGAAAGCAAGGCTATTTTATAGTGTTCCTTGAAGGCTTCTTTTTCATCTGGTATGATTTTGTGAACAATGCAAAAATTGATCTGTTATGTGTTCCTTTAATGACATCCTTAATAAACACACTTACATCAGTCCATCACCAAGATGAACCGATGTAGCTGAGAATAAATACACTAGAAATAGAATTGTATCATTACATGATGTTTCTAATAAGTAGTAATTTATTGTTGGATATTTGTTATGGCAAATGTTAATGGTGTACTAGGACACCTTCAACGAAAGGAAGGAACAGAACCAGACATTCACTGGATCATCTTCCTCTGACACTGACAACCAACAGGAGCATTCAAGAAGGTTGCCACGCAGATTTCCACATAGATCTCCACGCAGATCTCCACACAGGACTCCACGGAGGTCTCCACGCAGATCGCCACGCAGGAAAGAATCACAGTGGCAACCATCTCCTGAACGAGAAACCTCTAAATCCAAAGATGACGGAGGAATTATATTTTCCGACACAGAAATTTAATCCTGGATGGCAAATGGACTAGAACTTGCATCACCCTCTAAAGAAGATAATGAAGCATTTACATACAAGATGTACAACGAGGACTTTGACACACTAACTCTTCCACCCATCCATCCGGTCGCAGATGTACCAGGGAATCTCAGCACAGCTTTCAAGAAAGCAACGAAATTCCAGAGTCAGAGCGTCCCACCATTCAACGCTAAGAAGTTCTCTCTTCACCATATGGATCCCTTTAAGAAGGCATCAGAAATAGACGAGAACTACAAGATCATCAACGACTCCCGAACCAGGACTTACAAAGTTGAAGACAAGAAGTTGGCACAACTTGACACAACTACCAGACGTACATTCTTTGGACTAGCCAGGTCAAGAGCTGTTAATGAAACTCTCATCGCCAAGTTTAGAAACTCGACCTCGGAAGAAGATAGAATGATCTATTCAGCATTACTAACACAGAAGAAAGATCATCAGTTCATGTCTGAACATCTGACCTCTACATCAGCAGGATTGACACTATTAAGAAGACAAGGACTATTATCTTCTTGTACGTGGAGTGAACGCTTCACCAAGTCACTATACAGAGCGCCGTGGTCAGCACCATCTATCTTCGCAGGGGAAATTGAGGACGTGGCTAAGGAAGTCACCAAAGAATCAAGGGAGGTCATGATGATCAAGTCCATCGGCACACTTGCTAGTGTTATCCGTCAGACCTCACAACGCTATTACAGAAAGTCGAAGTTCACAGGAATACAAAGAGACAGAGAAAAGAAATACGGCAACTCCAGAGGAGGCAAGGATTCTTTTCGTTGCATCCAGAGGTAACCCGGGAAGAGGCAGGCAGGGCATCCAGAGGTAACAGAAACTCTAGACGCTGAGTCTTCCACCCCCAGCCGTTCCCATACAACCTTCAACAGTGGGTGGACGTGTACAACGCTACTGGAAGAATTGGGGAATTCTTCAGGACGACTATGTATCCCAGATCCTACGCAGAGGATACAAGATACAACTACAAGCAGTACCACCATTGACAAGCAACTCTCTGGGCCACAACTACGCTGCGGACCAGAGGGAGAACTTACTTGACGCCATCACAACTCTACTCGAGGGTCAAGTTACAACAGATGATATCTCAAGCACTACTCTCTCCATTACCACTACGAGATTGGCAGAGCCTACTCGGTCTCCTCACGTCAGCACAAGACATGACACGCAGAGGACGACTGCAATTGCGCCCACTACAAGTGTTTCTGAACGCTCATCTAAACAATCCGGACTCCTTCGGACTACCGGACGGATGGAAGCCATATCTCCTATGGTGGACGCGAAGGTCGAATGTTTGCGGATGAACCTACTTATCAGAGCCGGAGTACAACACTCATCTCTATGTAGATGCATCACTCCAAGGATGGGGAGCCCACCTTGACAACAAAGTGGCAGCAGGAAAATGGTTGAGCCAGGAGCAAAGTCTACACATCAACATGCTCGAAATGAAAGCAGTCGTAAACACCTTACTACACTGGTCCAGCATACTAAGGAACGCACAACTGATGATCCATACGGACAACTCCACAGTGGCGTTCTACATCAACAAACAAGGATCAACAAGATCAAGGAATCTACTAGATCTCAGCTTTCATCTGTTCAGCATAATAGACAACTTGAACATCAATGGGAAAGCATGTCACATTCCCAGAGCCAAGAATGTGATAGCAGATGCCCTATCTCGACCAACACAACCATCCCCGATGGAATAGATAATACACCCAGAAGCATTCAGAAACATATCCTCAAGTGGCGGAATATCTTTGTCAAGACAAACAAGACGATACAAAGGTTCAACACTATCTACATACCTAGCGGCCCTCAGTACAGTTATCACTATGAAGACATGTGTGAAACTGACCAAAGTACCAGAGATACTAGCTCTACTATGCTCCTTTAAGTTGGTAACCAACAAAAGAAATTCAAAGCACCTGCTTGGGAGCTCAACGTAGTTTTACAGTATCTCACCAGTGATGCTTATGAACCACTAGGAAGGACATCCTATGAGATTTTAACGCATAAAACTATGTTCCTGGTCGCCTTGGCAACAGCAGCTCGGATGTCAGAAATACATGCTCTGGACTTTGAACGAATACGTTTCGATGCACATCACAACATCATACATCTGGGATTGAGATGGGACTTCATAGCAAAGAACCATTTGCCAGGTCAACCAGACAGGCAATTCCACATCCCAGCACTTCCGTCAGTCCTTGGACCACAGGATACTCAGGATCTATCCTTATGTCCAGTCAGAGCATTACAAATCTATCTACAAAGGCCTAAGATAAGGAGACGAAAATTCAAGCGCCTTTTCATCCCTTTATCGGCGGAGACATCTACAGAAGTCTCACGTACAACAATATCAATATGGATGAGAGCCGTCATATTGAGAGCCTATAAAGCAGCAGGACTTGAGCCACCACGAGCCTCTTATCCTCATGAAGTAAGAGCACTGGCGTCGACACTTGCTCTACACGGAAATTGCTCAATCTCGACAATAATAGAGGGCTGCTATTGGAAGTTGGAAACGGTGTTTGCCAACCTCTACCTCAGAGACATGGCTACCGAGGATGTCTCCGGTATCCACCAGTTTGGGCCTCTTGTTGTAGCACAACAATTGACGGTTCCTCAAAGACGCTGAGATGATGGCCTTTATCACATGACTTGTAAAAGCCAACACTCAGAGAGTTGAAGCTTAGAGTCCATGCGCACGTCTAAAGACAGGCTAGCATGAGTGACAGACCCTATACTTGTAAGGACTTACTCGTATATGAAGAAGGGTCACTTCTCCAATTGATGCGGGAATCAATTATGGAGTCGTATAAATCCACTTTTACTGTCAGGAGAAGCGGTTCCAGAAAATCTGACATATTGTGGTCCCCCCAAAGTCATCAGAGGAAGCTGGAAGGAAGGATCAGTATATACTTTAAGAAGTTCCCACAGGGGGGTATGCAGGACGTAAATCAGCATGGAATCCAGAGTGGCTTGACCCACCACCTGTTCCGTTGGATTCTACAAGCAATTAAGCATGAGTCGGGATAAGGGAAAATATGTAATTTTTGGATTTAAATTGATATTTAATACTTATCCTTACTCATGAGGTAAGCCCTCCCAACCTCCCCTTATGGCACTCTGGATTTCCTGTAATCCAGGTGTCGGGCGCTTAATCAGGAGAGAGTGAGGGACAGGTCCAAACATGTGACATGGTTTTCCCGCCAAAAGAGTCACAAGGGAGATAACACTGGGTGAGTGATTTTACGTCCGCTTTTTTTAAGGGAGCTTCAAAAGGGGATTCCACTATCATTCGCAAGAAGAAAGAGATAAGCAATTAAGCATGAGTCAGGATAAGTATAAAATATCAATTTTAATCCAAAAATTACATATTTGAATGAAAACCTGTTTTGTTTCTTCCTGCATGATAGCTGCATTAGCTTCCTGTATTATTCCATTCTGTATACCATGCTGAATGCCATGCTGAATGCCATGCTGCTATGTTCCAGGCCTGTAAGTACGGCCATGTGCAGCATTTGGAACATCTGCTGTACTATGGGGCAGACATGGATGTTCAGAATGCCAGCGGGAACACTCCTCTACATGTGTGTGCTGTTTTCAACCAGGTGGGAAATACTAGGAATTCTCATCTTAAATAGAACTAACAACATAGTCTGCAATTTTAACCACTAGTCAGAGCGTGAGTCAACTAAAATTTCTTGAGGCCTAGTTCATCTGATACTGGTAAATAAAAAAATACTAACATCAATTTAGGATAATGCCAAAGACTATTTGCCTCTAGGCACTACTGCATGGATCAATCATAGATATTCAGTTCTTTAACTGACATTGAAAGAGATATGGAAGGACTAGTCTCTTGCAGCTGGCTTCTGATGTGCAGATGTTCTGCTGTCAGGGCTAATTCAAACAGTGGCACTGAAAGTGGATTTTATGAGGGCTTCACATTCAGTGGATGTTATTTTCTTCCATGTTTAGAATTTGTACATGTGTTTTTTTGTAGACAAAGTGAGAGCATGAATATGGCTTTTCACTGCTTTTAGCAATATTCCAGCGATAGAATTCCAGAAATTAGTTCCACACATTGTACCCATGTGGGGAATCAAGCCCAGGTCTTTTGTGTGATATGTGAATGCTTTAACCACAAGGCTACCTCAGAGCCCCCTTTCAGGCTAAGAATTTGTATAATTTCTAAATGTCAAGGAACTGTACAAATGTTGATAAGTTTTCATATTTGGAGGTTTAATTACTTGGAGTAAGTTGGTTGGGGTTTTATAACTCCTTGTACAATATTTCAGAAAATGCAGTATGTCAGATTTTTGTGGAAGAAAAACCCAGGGTGACTTAAGTTATGAGTTGTTTCTAACTTATGTTTTACACTGAGCTTGATTTTGGTGCGCATTTATCAAACGACACAGCAGAAGGTGGTAGGTGAAAGTTGCACTGCCTACACCCCTGATGAGGTGTAGGCCATATGACGTTGCAAATGTTGTGAGGTTAAGAATGATTACAATTTTTATGGATATACAACTTCTTTTATTCTGTGAAGGCAACGTTTCGACATAGATTCTAATGTCGTTGTCAAGCAAGTGATACATGAGAAGCAAATAGAGAGACTATTTACATGAGTTGTTATTACAATAGATTGGGGATGAGTTGTTTGTACAGTAAATGAGGTTGTACAACGCTTGTATAGGAGATTGAGTAAGTTGATTGGAAGCCAGTTAGGTGACATACAAGGATTGAATTAGAGCTTATACAAGCTTCTTGGCTTCAACAGTCAGTGATTGTTTCCCATTCAAATAGACTCACTCCTGTCTGAGAACATGCCTCCACTGTTGCCAGGAATCGTGTGCACGGGTGTTGCTGTTTCGGGGCTGCAGCAAGGAGATCCTCAACTACAACAACCAGACAGCATTCCAGATTGCCATCATTGCCAACAACATTGACCTTGCCGAGATCATCAAGAATAATAAACCAGAGGATGCTGGTCTGTTTTATATCAGACCTAATTTGACGTCCCCTAAATATTATGTTGCTTATTCCCCACACTGAATATTTATATTGGCCTTTTGTTATACCTATATTTGTTATAACACAATTTATCTGTATTTAAGACTTAACATAGCATGCAAGAAAGCAAGGCTATTTTAGTGTGTGCTTTTAAGGCTTCTTTTTCATCTGGTATGATTTTGTGAACAATGCAAAAATTGATCTGTTATGTGTTCCTTTAATGACATCCTTAATAAACACACTTACATCAGTCCATCACCAAGATGAACCGATGTAGCTGAGAATAACACACTAGAAATAGAATTGTATCATTACATGATGTTTCTAATAAGTAGTAATTTGTTGTTGGATATTTGTTATGGCAAATGTTAATGGGAGAAATACAATATCATTCTTTAAGCTATGACATCACTAAATTGTAACCTTGTTATGTGATGTCATAGATCTATGTCGTCAATGGAATGTTGCTGCATGTTAGAAATTGAGAGAAAAACATAAATGCAAATCTTATAATTACTTCTTTACAAACTAATCTGCAAAAATTATGACAATATTTTTCAGATGAACATTTTATTCCATGTGTAGTTACAACTTTTAAATGAGATCATACTATTGGTTTTACTTGGTGCAAAAGTGTTAACACAATGTGTGTTTTCCTTATGTGCCTCTGTAGCAAAGCATGAAAATCCAGTTAACTAGTACTTCCAGGGCAATAAAATGCACTTTGTCTCTGTTCCTTTTTTTTTTGGGGGGTGGGGGAACTAAGATTAAAGTATTTTAAAAAACAATACCAATGTTAGAAAAAGTTACATACTTTTAGTACTGATTATTAACATACTTAAATCATGCCCTTCAATACAGAAGTCATAATGATACCTACATGTTATGCTGCCAGTTCGTTTTCTATCATCAAGATTTCTGTTTACAGTGCCATTTCGTGAGGTGCCCAAATACAGTGATAGGAGGAAAGGGTCCACCATGACACCAAGTATGCGAGCCATACATCGGAGTCGGAGTGATCCTCGTCTCAACATCAGTGTCATTGAAGAACAAATGATGAGACAGGGAATGTCCAATCAGAGCTTGCCACATATGACAGACACCTACTCCAATGGTTCATACCCTCCGTCTCGGGAATATAATTCAGACTCGCCACGATCTCTCAGTATCTCCAGCACTGGTTCAGGGCCAGGTGGGTACCAGCCTCTTTGTAGACAGTATTCTTGAAGTGTGTTGCTCAAGCTTGGTCCTTCCACTCTGAAATCTCATCGTGTTGAGTGTTGTGTGTCATGCCACTACAGAATAGTTTGCTATCTTTGGTTTATACATGGACATGTAATTGCAAAGTACCCGGAAGATAATGAAATGGTCAAACATTCATAAATAATAAGTTTATTCCTATACATGAGGAAATGCATTTGACTACATACATGTTCATGTTTAAGCTATAGCTGTAGCTATGTTGTTAATTTATAACCTAGGCTGTTGTTTCTGCTTTTTGGTATTAATTGCATTACTGAGGCCGAAAAGGCTTCACCTTATGCTCAGGTGATTAAAACATGTTCAATGTTCCTATCAGTGAGTGAGTGAGTATGGTTTTACCCTGCCTTTAGCAATATACCAGCAATATCACAGTGGGGGACACCAGAAAAGGGCTTTACACATTTTATCCATGTCGGGAAATGAACCCAGGTCTTCAGTGTTCCTATCAACCTTAGTCTCAGTTATAGAAGGTAATACGTTCACTAAGTAAGGAGTGCATATCAAAATGTATCTAAGTACCACAAACAATTTCATAAATCGTGTCTGTTGATGTTCAAGCAATAACAGTACCATATATCCACCAGCAAAATCATAATGTGCTGTCAGTCTCAGCCTATATACAAATGACCCTGTGTAAGTATCCCATCAGCCAGGAATACTGTGTACCATGGTCAGGCAGAAGGGGTCCAATTTCATTAAGCTCTTCTGTATATTAGCAATGGTATACCTTGGCCTCCACTGATGACATTTGATATTGTTAGTTGTGCAGTTACCATGCTTCCAAGCCTTACTTTGTGCTAGCTTTGTACAAATACGCCTTATCCCCACTCTAGCTTGGCATAGGAAGAAACAGCTGAGATTTTACAAGTATTCTGGTAAGATGTAGTCTTAGAAATATATATATATATATATATATAACCTGGTGGATTTTGATAAGGTTGTGCTCAGGAAGTTCTTTCTTGTATTTGTCCACTGCAATATGGGTAATTTAACATATGCTTGTATGGATATAAGTGGTATGTGTTTGGTGTCTGTTTCGTGGAAGGTATTTAACTTGCTTGTCCTTTTCAGAGGATTCTAATGTAAAATATTAGAGGGAAGTATGGTGTCATACTTTAACACTGTAACAACTGCAGATATTTTGAGTTCAAGAATGGTGGTTCAATTTGACAAAAAAAAAAGCCACAGCCTAAGCATATCTGTGCTTGAACAAATACTTTAAAAAGATTGTTTTTAATTCTAGAACAAATAATGTTTTCTTTTTCAGGCAAAGTATGCTTTAAGTGTCAAAACATCTTATCTAACCTTATGGCAGTTTCAGAAAATTATTTATGCACTAGTGTGTTCTTTTAATGTGTTTTTTTGAGGTTTGTAAAAGATAGGAATTGTGTTAAGTCTAACTGAAGTCTTCAACTAATCCTCTTGTTATTTGCTAGTTAATGTTTCATCCTTTCCCTCTTTAAGAGATACCAATCACTGCCACAGGCATTTACACCATACTGACAGACATATGTACTCCAACATAGCATACTTACTGATCGTCTCAAAACTTCAGGATCTATGGCTGGATTCAAAAGACTGCTGTAATACTATCTACAATGTGTCAGATTAAGTCTGTGTATGCTGTTGTTGTGCTAAAAATGTAACATGAACACAAAGTCATGATTGATTGTTGAGCCATTCAACCATCCACGTCTTGTAGAAATCTGTTGTGTTGTGACGATCCCTTACATGGTTTTAGCCTTCATTGATCATCAGTCATGTTTTCACATCAAACTATGTTACTAGAAGTCTAATACTCATTATATCCATATGTAAAATACTGCCAGATTTTCATCCTGATTTGTTTGTATTACCGATGTCAATACCAGAACTGATAAAAGTTTCATCACTTTCTAATTTGTGAAATTACTGAATGTTTACAGATATTGAAGTCAAGTAGCTGGCTCTTATCATTAGAGCCTTTGACCATGGAGCCCATTTATCTGGTCAGCTGAAATTTTATTCAGCATTTTGTGTTTGAAAGATATATGAATAGAATATAAATCTTTACATATTGCTGGAAATGTAAATGATATTATGCACCAGCAGAGTTTAATGTGAATATAATCAGTCAGTCAGTCCCAATGCATGGATGAAAAACTAGCATGTCATTTATTTTGCTTTGTGCTTGTCTATAGTTTATTGAGTTTGTACTGGAGATGCTGCTATAGAGATTTTATGTAGCTTCAACTGCCTCCTTCTGCAGGTGTCATGCCATCATCTCGATATGAATACGAAAGAATGCGCCTCTATCCGGCTATCCCAAGTCGCTTTGTTGTCTGTGTAAAAAAATACCAACCAATACACACAGCAGAGTTGAAGCTTAGGAAAGGAGATATTATACAAGGTCTATCAGGGCTTTGTTTTATGCATGATCAACAATTTATGCACCCTCTTTCTTTACTGATTCTCTAATTCACATTATCCTTATCTATTTCAAGTTTGAGCATGTACATAACTAACATTTGCAGTTAATTCCATATTCAGTCAAAGAGGATTATGGTTTATTCGGTTGTTTATTTTGGGGTTCAAATTCTTCCAAACCTGTTCCTTGGAATGATGCTGATCTTTTAATTTGCTATTTGCATTGTTTTTCTCAGGTACTTCTAAGTTGACCAATACCTGAGTCAGTAGACAAATATACATGAGTGCAATTTGGAATTTGAATTCATAATCCTCTTTTAAGATATGTTCACTGATGTGATCAAAACTAACAGAGAAATTGTGTTCCAAACCTATGTTCACATTTCAGTTAACATGTCAGAAATTGATATGTAGGCATTTTTTTTCACTGCTCTAACCCCTTTACATGTGCCAGATATATGAAGGAGCCATTCTTATCATGACAGACATTTTGTGTGTCCTTAGATGCTTACTTGAATCACCAAAGACTTTCTCTGTATGCATGGTGAATCCAATGAGGAGCCTGTGATAAATCATTTTGTTAAGATGATAAGGAACATAATCTTCCCTTTCAGATGTTTCTAGTCTGTAATATCTATCTCATTTTCAGATCTCTATAGATAGAATTTACTATGATCTCTCATGCAATGGTTTGGATTTCGGTATTCAAGCTGTAGAGTTACCTCCCCTTCTGTGTTTCAGACTGGAATCCTGTTTCTAAAGTTGCTCACTGCCTGAGAGATTATAGTAAACATTTCCTCTGTTACCATGATTCTGGCTTGTTCTAGCATCCTCTGTCTCATGCATATTGCTAGCATGACAGCAATGTAATCTTTATAGACTGACCTAGACTAATCTGAGATTAACATCACCATTATAAAGACTCATGGTTACGCATTGCATTGGATGTTATATTTAGCTTGAATGTTAATTTCTTTCTTTTCCACGACGTCGTTAAAGATATTTAATAACTTTAAGCATAATATCCATTGGGGGAAAGACAACATGTGACAATTGTTTTGTTCACATTTCAAAATTTTAACACCCTAAGCTTATGAAAATGAAAATACAAACTTCAACTGATATTTCTGGTTTATGTTCTACCTCTCAATTTCCTATAGCTAATTGGTACTCAGGATGTCATTAACATTTTTATGGGCAGTTATTTTCTTAATTATTTCAGCACCTACTATTTAATGTTTTTGTTTTGCTGAATTTGTAAATAGTCCTGAACTAAGGAACCCATAGAGAACAACAGTTTTTGTGACTTAAGTCATTATCAGAAATGAGGTATGTCATGATCACAACAATAAACAACTTGTCATATTTCAATAATGACATACCACATGCAGCAGTTACCGGTAGTTCAAAGATTAATTTTGTTAACACCGTTCAAAGTATATTTGAGATGTCACTTAAGCAATTAAGAGTATTAACAATCCAACTCAGTGTAATGTACTGTGGTTAAGCATGAATTTGTTTGATAATGATGAGCATTTGTCTTTCAGTGTTAAGTGTTGGGGATCAGGGATATTATGAAGGCCGAACTGATGGGGGAAAAGAGGGATGGTTCCCAGGGAGCAACGTGAAGGACATCACTTTACGTAGAGGTATGATAGGATTGTTCTATAATAGTAACTGTATCTGTACATGCTAGAGTTTGAGCCTCATAGTAGTAATTTGTACAGATGTGGCCAGTTATTGCTAAGTTGTAAGTCAGGGCCCTGTGTCACAAAGCGATCATGACACTATGACTGTGAACATACTTTATCATAGACTTGAGTCATAGCACTATGATCACTTTGTGAAACGTCTGTACAGTATTATTACCAACATCAATCTTGCAACAATCGCTTCTTGTGTAGAGTTAAGTACATCTTTAGACGTCAAACAGGATAACAGTCAGTTTCAAACCTTACTTCTGTGTTACAATGCAAGTGCATTGTAAAATTCAGTCTTGAAATTTTGAAATTTTGCCTGACATTTTTTATTTATTGTGACATAATTATTGCCAACTGCTTGAATGATGCAGACAAAGTAAATGAAGTAAAATCTCTTTGATGCAAAATAGTTCTTGATTTTCATTATGTTCAATAGTCTGGTAAATCATTTTCAAGTTTGTTTTCAATGTGTTTTGAAATGCATGAAATGTTTATCAAAACTAATTATTTGTATACTTGCAGCTGGTTCAATGGGTGACCTACTCAACAGTGATACTGTTACTCTCAATAGAAACACACTGGCGGCTCTCATCAATGCAGATGACCCGTAAGTACATAGTTATCTCCCTTGAATCATTTTTTCAGTGACTGCATTTCTGTTTGTCTATTGTTCTCATTCAACAATGGTGTCTTCTTCTGAGTGCTGAAACCCACAATTGTCTTTTGTATATATTTGAAATTATATCAGGGTTTATTAAGGACATAAATCTATTATTTGTTTGTTATGTGAGTGAATGCTCTGAGTTCTCAGGGTGGGGGAGGAAGTTGGGGGGACTCATCAGGTCTCTTGTCTGTTGCAGTTTCTGAATTTGGGGACCCTTTGTCAGTAGATTTTTGTGTAGTCAGTAAACATGTCCAAAAATCTGAAATGGAAGATCATCTCTGTGCGATTGCAGATTATCAGTCTGTTTAAGAAACATTGAGACAATGGGTTCTGCTTTTGTTGCTCTGCTGTAATTTGTGTTTTGTAAATACTAAACACTGATCAGTTGGGTTTGTTCCATCAAGAGATGCAATCATATTCAACTTTTATGAGATATTAGCTTGATTATGGTAAACATTCATGTTTTAGTATGCACACAGCAGATTTTCATGAACCTCTTTTATTCTTTTGAACATTTAAAACATTTCACTCATCTTATATTGACAAAATGCATTTTTAGTTGTTGTATTAAGAGTCAAATGGAATTGAATTAATAATATCCTCTAAAGTCTTTTGAATAAAGTGGAAAGATTTAAAAATGTAGATTCACATTTGGTTGACTGTGTGTGCATTTTTCCTCTGGAGAGTATTTGCAGCCTAGAAACCTGTGATATCTCTCTGTGTATGTCAAAACTTGCCTATGTTGTGTGGGCCTTGGGTGAATACACACTGTTTCAGCATACAGCAACTCCAGGTTTTACACTATCATCAAACATATCATCAGCATTCTGGTTATAGTTTCTACAAGTTTACTTGCCAGAAGGCTGATATATGATTTTGCTTTTCAGAATTTCAAGCTTAGCCATATGTCCTTTTCTGCAGTGAATCAGAGTTCATTTATCACTGAGGATAGATCATGACATGTGATCCTAGGTCAAGGCAATGAGAAACATTAATGATATCAATCAGTGAATGTCTTAACAATCTACATTGAAGAATTAATAAGATTGATGTGAGGTACATACCCTTTAAATGTTGACCAGCCAACAGTTTGATTAAACTCCTCATTTAACAACATGCAGGTTTTGGTTGTGTAGAATATTCCCAGACATGTACATTAAATCACGTTAATGCAGAAATTCTGCAATGTTTCTTTTAGTTATGATAGTAATTACCAGCTATCAGTGTTTGAAATTGCTGCTGATGTTGTGTGACTGTATAGTCTTAAGTGTACAGTTAAAATAGATATAACAATACATTGTACATGTCTGCCTGCAGTAATCTACAGTAGTGACTGACATGCTCTGACCTGTTCAGTGTGTGAAGCAGTGAAGATAGGATTACAGATTTCTAGACCTCACAACTGTTATTTAATCTTGACTATGTGAATTAGAGACATTCGACTTGTATATACAATAGGTTGTAAGGCGCAGAATAATACAAGATCTTTGTAGTTACTACAGGTACTGAATATGATACCTTGTAAATGATTCTGAAAGATAGTTCTGAACTACTGAGTAGCAATACAACTGCAATAATCTTGAGTGTGACATTAAACACCATTTCACCTTGCCTTATTCTGTTCAATGTGAAGTGGGAATAGGGCAGATTTTATTCCCCACAAAATAAGCAACGAAAAAATCACGTCTATAATTTGAAAAGGAAAAACAGAAACAAAACTGTTCTTTATACCAATAAATATACCCTTTAAGTATACACTCTACACATTCGCAGAAAGAGTGAATGCTAACACAAAAGGAGTTTTCTTAATAATGGGAGTTGCTTCTAATTTATTAATGCAAACTTCTGACTTAAGTATTCTGGATGTCTTCAACCTGTAACAATGTTTCAACTTATGATGTTTAGCTGTTTAAGGTATAAATACAGAGCATGAAAAGCTTGAGATTCACAAAAACATGTACAAACTGTATAGTGACAAGTATTTGTGTGAGCTGAAGACAAGCCAAGAACAGGGCCCTTATTCTCGAAACGTTCATAGCCCTAAGAATTCGTAACTTTGATCGTAACCGATGTGTTTAAGAATAGGCTTAAGAAGTTCGTAGGGCTACGAACGTTTCGAGAATAGCTAGCCAGCTTCTTACATCTGTTCAGAAAGTAAATGATATTTATTGCAGGAGACCTAGGACAAATACTTGATTCACTTTGGTTTACTTCCAAGATGCCAGTTATATGCCACCATCCCTTCTTCCCACCATCTCCATCCTAATCAGATATATCTCTCCCTAACAGTGATATCAGTCCCTACCCCATCTCCTTGTTGAAGTTGAAGGGCCACACCACTAGGCAACAATTTGTGGAATGTGTGATAATCTGTCTCCAGTTGACTGAGTGTGTAGATTTGTTTGTGGGTCAGCATGTTGTGACCTGTCATCATTAACACTGTGATCAAGACTGCTTGTACTGTTGTCATGGTATGCTTCTCTGGCTACAATATGCTGAAACTTAATAAACAGAATGCAAGAAAACAAGACATATAAACAGTGGTAATAATGTTATGAAGAGTTCCCTGTTTCCTCGTTCTTAGTAGGAGTGTTGCTGTGGTGAAGGGGCTTATGTAACATTTATCACACCTAGATAACTGCCATATTGGTTATATAACGTAAACACAAGTTGACATGCTGAGTAGATATTTTAAGGTGAAGGACCAGGTTGGTTATGGCACCTACTTGGGAAACCACAATTTTGGGACAAACTAAGAATAGTGTTATGGAGGTTATTTTCAGTTTTGAAGGGCTGGGCAAAAGTCATTTTCTTGGCAAATGCAAAGTTTGTCAAATTTAGAACACATCCTAAAATAATTTAGAACCATTCATATCTTGAACATTGCACAAAAATAGATATTTGAGACACTAACATGAAAGGAAGGTGTGGGAATATATGTGTACGAGTGTAATGATTACAGAAAGAAACACCATTTAGATAAGAAAAGGGATCATCTTTCAGACTGACAGCCTAGAAATGCTGAATACATATCTGTACTGTATTTGTATTGCAAACACTGTGAGTAGTGTGTGGCCAGCTACCACGGTGGTTATTTTGATGAGGGAGGTATCTGTGTATCATTAAGAAGGGGATAGAGGTCATGACCGGAGATGCAAGGCTGTACCTGATAACACTGGAGGGTGGAGACCGACTAGATTAAATTATTATGCTGCCATACATGGAAAGATTTTGGCCAGATAATGTGGCCTTGTTAATGAATTAAATACAGAAATGGGTTGGGTTAGTATTTTATGCTGTCACATTTAATGAATATTGTAGGATGATAGGGTAATAACTGTTCGACACATTTCTGCAACTTATTCACATACATTAACACACAAAGGCATGCCCATAAATGTACACTTAACATTAAGTGAGGTGAATTCTGCCAGAGTAACAGACATTTAAGATAATGGTCACAGTAATAGAAATACCAGGATAACAATAAGGACGAAACAAATGGATGTAAACTCTTGTTTTATTGTCAGGCAAAGTTTTGGTGTCAGTGTTCAATATCAGTAAACTACTCAGAATATTTTCAGCAAATATAATGCCTGGAAAAACACAGTTTTAAATGGAAAATTGCGGTGAGTCAAATCAGTTGTACAAATCGTGAAACAGAAATCGTTGTCCTGTGGGTTAGGCAAGTCATGTTTGCTTGTCACACTGAAGATTCAGGTTTGATACAAGAGTAAACCCGTTTGTGTTGTCCCCACTGTAAAGTTGCATGAAACCATTATTTACTCTGTCATTCATGTATGCCTTATGTTATGATTTGAATTAAACAAATCTGAAGCAGTGCAACATTCAGCTTGTTCACTTACATACAGACTAGAATGATAAAATGCTTCATGTGCAGCTGTGTACAGACGGTAGATGTTGTTATAGCAGCAGACTGGATGAAGACTCATACATCAACTGTCACACTACTTCACCTGGTCATAGGGTCGTACGGTCATACAGCTGATCAGATCACACTGATCATTGGGAGTGCCATGTTCATGTATTTCTCTTTTAGTGATCTTAAGTGATGCTTATAGGACTGGGAAAGAGCTATCAATCTTTTTTTGTTTTTTTTTCAGAAATCCTAAACTTTTTTAGTAGGCATCAGTATTTCAACTTTTAATCTTCAAACATACAAGGGGTACGAGATGAGAGACAGATGATGTTTAAATCCCAAAATAATTTTACGTGAATAGGAGATGACAATCTGTACATTGTGTTCTTCATACAGTCAAACACTGATTTTTTTAACTAATAAAAATTAAAATTATAAGCTTGCTCTCTGCATATTCCTGTTTAAGCCACAGGTTTTCAATTGTGTCGAACCTCGGATAACTGGAAGTATAAACGTAGGTCCCTTCAATGTAAATACATTGGTATTTGACTGTAAATATGGTCAAAGGTGCCCTTTACCATTGATGCATAAAACAAATCACCATGCTGGACATGTCTTTTTTGACAGCTTTGTCAAAATATTTGATTCCAAATGCTTTATGCTCAAGTATTTCAGTTATACAGAAGAAGTACAGTTGATTTCTAATACACTATAGAGTGCTGAAACTCTTTGGGTATAAGAGGAAAAGTATTACCCTCACAAGTACATTGAATATGTAGGTAATGGATTGTGAAAAGCAATAAGGTTGGTCAAGTATTTGCAAGACAGTGTCCACTTGACACAGAGTGATTACTACACTAAGCCAAAGGCCCAGTACAGGCAGACAGGCTGTGTCAGCTATGTGTACCTGGCTGTGATAAATGAGAAACTTCTAGGGTATCCCATCTCTACATACATACGTCACAGTCACTAAAAGGCTTTTTATGCTTCTTGATGCTTGAAACGTTTCTCTAATTTTATTGTTGGGTTCTAGACAATCTAGTCCACACACTGACTATAGAGTTTTAATAGGCTCACAAACATAGCAGTATTGCTTTCTGTATCATGGATGAGAACTGTGGGAAGTGTATTAAGGTTGCAATCATCTCTGGAAGTTCATGCTTACTGCTCAATATTGTTCATGCTGTGAATTGAACCACCAACATTTATGTTTCCGATTATTGATAGGGAAGCTGTTGCAGTCCCTGATAATATAATGGCAGTAAAGTTCTTAATTGGATCGGTGAAGGACTGTGAAATTTGATGTTGAACTGTGTGTGTTCACTTGACCTCCCAACCCTTTTACTGTCTTCTCCTGGAGATATGTGAACACAGGTGTTGGGAACTATAAGGATTATATTGTGTTTGGATCATGGTATGCGCATTATACATTCTGAGCATCTCAAGAATAGAGGAATACTTTTATTTCATTCAATAAGTCCCCTTCTTGTTGTTTGTTTCACCACATAACATTCCTGGGAGTAAATGATTAACAATATAGTTGCTCATAACTAGAACTTTTATATTATATATATATATTATTGAACTAACAGCTACTGACTGAGATAAGATGACAGGTGAAAGTAGTCAAACATTTACTTAAGCTTGGGCAGAAAATATAAAGATATTCGTGAAGGTTTGGCTATGAATATTAAGGTTCAGTTATAAGTACCAAATACCAGTTGTTATATAAATAACAACTTACCATATATGATATCTGTAATAGATGTCTAGTTTAAATGCTACTAGAGATATTCATCTACATCACCTTGTACCATTTGGAAAGAAAGAGAAGTATATCAATTGGGTATTTTACCTGAATATTGACACAGATTTTAGTTTAAGTGGTCAGTGTGTATGAGATGCATGGAGTATCATACTGATGTGGATATATTGTGTTTTATGTAGTTAAATGTAGGAAATAGGAAAACTGGAGTTTGATTGAATGGAACTAGTGACTTGCACAGATGAATGACATGACATGATGACTGGCTGGATAAGATAAGATTGATGGAGTGAAATGAAACAAGAAATGTAATGGTGTTTGTAATTGAGAAGGTAAATAATTTTGTCTAGTGATGTTTAATTGCAAATTTGACGTTGTTACTGACAAAGTTGTCTTCTCTTGTTTGCTCACACGAAGTGATATAATGTCATATCTTACCCCTGAAAAAAGTTTCACGAAAGTATATCCTGTAGAAAAGCCGACCCCTTTCTACAGTCTGCTGGTTTTTTCCACCTCAAAATTTGGCTTATCTCTGGTAATATGAGGTAGATAATTAATGTAAAATGGGAAAGTGAAAGTTATGAAGTGGATAGGGAAATGAAGTGCATAAGAATGACTGAACATTATGAAAATGAACGTTTGACAATACTGACTGACTGAGCTTGGTTTTACGCCGCTTTTAGCAATATTCCAGCAACATCACGGCCGGGGACACCAGAAATGGGCTTCACACATTGTGCCCATGTGGGGATTCGAACCCGGGTCTTCGGCGTGACGAGCCAACGCTTTAACCATTAGGCTACTCCACCGGCCCGTTTGACAATATGACATATCATGTTTATTATACAGGTTCATATCCATGAAAGTAATTCAATATTTTTGACAGCTTTTAGCATGGTTTGCAACGTTTGTATGTATCAAATCACAAATATTATTATACCAGTTGAACATTTGTCTAAAATAATTACATATTTTGAAAACAATGTGAAAGTATCCTTTCTTTATGCTGCAGCACGGCTGTGTAGCACTTGTGTTTGTCCAGAGGAGGATGGTGTGCTAGCAAGTAAATAGCATAGTCCATGTAGTGTGTACCAAGCATAGGGGGGAAGGGAAGGTGGGGGGTCAGGTCTTTCTGCAATCAAGTCAAGTTGTTCACCTGTCACTATGATAGGAATGCTTTTGATTTGAGGACTTGTTGCCATGGTAACTTGTAATGATAATCTGAGAAAAGAAGGGATCTTTGTCAAACATGATAAAATAATGTTGTTGAAGAAGGTTCTATGGAGAAAGGAGATTCAATATTTGTAACAATGATCGGATTTGGGGTAGTTGATATAAGGTGTTTGTTGGTGTAGAGCTAAATTGTGAGGGCTGGAAGAAAGAAGGTCAGTCACGTATATACCTCATAAGTCCTGACTGTGACCAGAATATATCAATGGTAATATTGTGGGAATTGTCTGCAGCATTGTGACAAATTTGACTCACGTCACATCGAGAAGAGGGCTAGTTGTTCCTTGTTTTCAGTGTCATACAAGACATTTATTTCTGTGGTGACAACTGGTTACTTATTCTCATCTTGAAAATGATATAACCCTGGATTAGTGACTTCTTTAGCCTGATATTCTGTCTTACTTAACACATGTATCTTGACTATATGTGAAGTTTCTCAGATTATGAAGAGAAATGTTCAGGAATTTGAGTTACTTTCGTGATTTTAACATGTTTAGGGATTTCACTTCACATCATTATCTCACTTCGCACATCATCAAACAAAGGCTCTGATTCAATTGGTATTTGTTATATGGGTCTTATTATGTACAGTATACACCAGACAATACTCTATATACAACAGTCTGCTCAAGATGTATGTGCCTTGAGATATACACCTTGACTGACTGACTGAGTTTGGTTTTACGCCGCTTTTAGCAACATTCCAGCAACATCACGGCAGGGGGACACCAGAAATGGGCTTCACACATTGTTCCCATATACACCTTGAACTCAGATTGAACTCTGTTGGAAGTGTTGCTGTTTCACTTTATATACCTCTACGTTTTGTCTAAGGAAATACTGTCTCTCTTCTGTTTCATTTTTTGGAAAATCAAGTGTACTTTTTACAGAAACAATGAACACAGATCCAGGGGTGAAAATAACTTTAAAATTGCTAGTGTACTCCGGTATGGTGTAAAATCACTTGCCCTGATAATTTTTCCACTATACTGTCCATTTTCTTGTTGATTTTTTAAATAAACAACAAAATTAATATTGGAAAGTCAACTGGACACCGGTACAGTGTGATATACAAATTTGCTTGCCCGACAGAAAAAAGCACTGGACTCGGACGTCGAGCAATTGGTTATTTCACCCCTGAGATCCCTACAAATTGTCTATTCAGACATTATTCCATTCCCAAGGTATGAGTTGTTCACAATGTCCTTTCATCTTTTATAATCACACCTTATGATGTTATTTCACAAAACCAGTTGGGTTCAGATTAGATCTCTCCTGATGTCATAATGACATGAGCTAAATTGTAATACAAGCTGTTCATTAAAACACATGACTCATGAGTGGCTGTGAAAATGTTTTGCCATCACAGATGTGTGCAGGTTATATCCTTAGTTGAGGCCCTGTGCCTCAACAAGTGTTTATCTCCACCACCCTAATTAGACTGTTAAATGTGTTAGTACCTAGACAGTAAGTGGAACCAGCCCAATTTGTTGGGAAGTCCCATTCTGAGGTTGTAAGTGTCACGCTTCATGCTAAACCCAAGGACCAACCAGAGAGTAACATCAAAAGAAGGTCACTTCATGTTGACCAGTTGTATTTGACAAGAGCCTTCTCTGTGCTGCCTGATTTCTTGTGTTTGTGGAGGGATCCGCGTTAATTTGCTGCTATGCCATGTCCAGTATCTATCTGCTCCTGGTAGCTAGGGTGGGCCATCCTCTTCAACGTCCTAACAGTATAACTGCCTGAAAACATAATGGTTGAGGTCAGGACTTCAATCTAAGATCAGACCTCTTTGTTGGCTGTTGCTGATTAATTTAAATAAATATTAGTTCTGTGGTCTTTCATTCAAACATTTCAGACAGAAAATTCAAAACCCAGAAACATATATTTTGAGATTAGTTGAAATTTGATTCAGTTTGTATTTTAATGAACATTAAGATAACATATGTTTTATACACGTAATTCCAACATGTTGTTGCTGATCCTGTTGCTTACCTAACCCTAATAGTACATTGTTTTCTATAACAAATGTCTTATCAAATATCCTTCTGGATTCCAAACTAGCATTAGTCATGTAGTTTTGAAACAAATGAATATTCAAAATGATCCTATGTGAGCATATGAGGTCTTTTTGGACATGCATGTAGCTTTTCTTTTCATAACCAGCGTCGTTAGATTGGTACATATTATCAAACATATTAGTTGCTTCAAAACTACTTTATCACAGCAGCATTTCAAGAATTAGTTAAATTTTCAGACATTCTTTCTTATCCAGCTTCCTCAATGCCCTCTGTCTTCCATTTGTTTTTGTTCCAACTTCCCTGCCTCACAGCTTTTGAAATAAAACAAATATGCCAGGCTGTCATTAGAACCCAGACATTTTCTAGGCTGCAGGCACTGAGCACTCTTCAGGTCAAAGCCTTAATTTGAAAATATAGAACAGAAGTGATACATTTTTAATGTTAAATGGTTGACATTTGGACAACCAATGGCTTGTTTGAATGAGATTGAAAAGCTGTCTGATGGGTTGTCTAAAGACTGGCTATATGAAATGTCCGTGGGAAATGATTTGCAAGCTGCAAAGCATGTTGAGGAACTATTTGTACCTATTTGTCGTGAAATATTTATGAAAAAAAAGAAAAATAATTTGACAAAAAGGTAGCTACCTATATTTACTGCAGCCCCTAAGGACCTGTACAGATTTGGAAATAAGAGTCTAACACAATATCTAAGGCTTACAGGCAGGCTTCTACAAGAAAAAACTGACTTGGCCATCCCCTACCCTGAATGTCCATTGACGGATGATATGATGTTGTGCTGGTTGTCCCATGCTGTTGGTCAGGATCTGTTTGGGATGAAGCTCATAAGATATATTTTGAGAAGAATCTAACCATGGAAACTCCAACAGTAAACAGTCATTTCTTTCTGAAATTTTCTTGTGTCATAGTTCAGAATTACTCTGGTTTGACTGAGATGAATAGACATAACAACAGTGCTGTAGTGATTCAGTATGGATTTAATAATCCCAGACAAATAACAATATGCTGAAAATAGCCCAAGCTACACTCAAGGGGAGCAAATTCTGTACTGATTTAGTGATATTAAGACAGATCATGATAGTGACTTCCAAAAGGAAGCTTTAGGGCAGATTGTTCAGGGAATTTATCATGTGCATGAAATCTGAAAGGGTGGCCTAAGTTTGCATGTTGCTGTGCAGAGTCGTAACCCATATCTGTACCAGTATCTGCTGGTAGGAGGTAGAATATTCTCACTGATAATGATGCTGATTCTGTGAGCATCATACACATGCTCATTAGATTTGCTTAAGTGATAAATGTCACATACTTTAGAACTTGGCCTCACACATTAAGCTGCTTTGATATAAAAAACTGAGCAAAGCTTCCTGAAACCCTGCTTACTTGCTCACTCGCTCACTTTTCGCCTATATGAAGTAATTTGTAAGTTAAATAGGAATGATGAACATTGGGTATAACAGATGCAATGCAACTTCTTCTCTTGATCAGTGCCCATCACCATATCATAACAGGTAGCGGTAGTGAGTGTTGTAAGGGTTTGTAGACCCCCCCAGACTCTGAGCAAACTGACCACACCACCACCATACATTGATGTCGTCCTGAACACTGCAGCAACACACTGTAACCTTCTTGACCAGTCTGATGCCACCAGCTGGACTGTTATAAACTTCTTCATACACTGCAGGTACAGAGATAGTAATATATGGATACCAATAGCGGCAAGTGATAATGAATGATAAGATAAGTTAATGCTCCAAATTTATCAATAAATTCATTCTCTTCCTTCTTGACATAAGTGAGATTTCCCTACATTTTCTGTCTCCCTTCTGTGACAATTCTGTTGATTATCTGTCCAAGATGGTCGATAGAACATGTGTGATGTTGGTCCAGACAATAATCAGCCGAGTGTTGAAACATAAGCACAAAGCAAGCACTTCCTTCTTGTTTTACTGTGCAAGTGACATGTGCTGTTCACGACACCATCACTCACCCGTACACATAAAAGACATGGCTGTTCTATTGATTACTTGCAGTTATCCTGTAAGGGACCATCTATTTAGTATGACATGTTTTGGGCTTTGAAGGACATGTTCATGCGATTTATACTTTATCTACCTAAACAAGATTATCAGAACTTAATTATTTCTGAAGGCAATACATTCTTTTACACTATGTTCAGTATGACAGCTAAATCATATACACGAACACGCTTCAATCGGACATAATCCACCATCAAATATTTAGTTAAGTCCTGTTGATAAGCAAATCTTGAGATGCAATTACCCAGATGGTTGATGACTGAACAGCCCATGCTGTTGGTGGATGATCATACAGTAATACAGGAGTGATTCTTTGTTTCCATCCTATTTTGATCATCCCTTACAAGCATAAGATATTACAGCCTCTTCTGCCCCAGGAATTTACTTCTTTGCATTTTGAAAGGCCTTTGTATGATGTGACATTGTTGTTGTGAAATCATCCAGGGTGTGATGGATTCACTCACACACACAACTCGTTCATGTGCCTTCCATACTGGCATGACAGTCAGTTTTGTTAACAAGTGAGTGAGTGAGTGAACATGGTTTTAACCACTTTTAGCAATATTCCAGTAATAATACAGCGGGGGACACTCAACTTTCATTATGTATTATGTTGATTACAAAGATTATGTTTCATTGTTAATATCATCTGGAATAACATCATAACAATAGTTTTGAGGAATACTGGAAGTATATTTCAAACAATTAAGATCATCATTAGAACATATGGAAAAATTTCAACAATTTGGATCAACAAATTACCATCCTTGCTTTAGAAGAGATTCATTTTATCAATCTATTAAAAGACAGAATAAGTTGCTCCTCTTACAATATCGTTTGACTCTACATACATACTGCCTTCCATATCAAGTTTTCAATTTGAAAAAAAGGTATATTTGGAATAAAAGATTTAATTGTCAAATACCTTGCAGTTATTGATAAATAGTGTATGTGGACTGTATTAAATATTAGCATTAATCAATCTTTTGTTAGATAATTGTTGCAATGGATACAGCTGTTTTGTCAATAATACACACAATGACAAGGTAATGATTCACATTGTATTTGTTTACATGGAGATCCTATTGATCTGACTTCTTCAGGTGATTTATGAAGAACATGAATCTTTGTGACAATGAAATAAAGTCACATTTAATTTAAATAATGATGATGAATTCATGTATCTTCAGATAAACTCAACCAAACCCAGACCAAATGTGGCTTCACGTCTGTGTTGTTGGCGTACCTGTGTCTTAATATTGATTTGGGCTAGCCCCAGCCGAGGAATACCTTTATATGTAACTATAAATAGTTGAGTGAATCACCACGCATGATAATAAGCTATCAGTGAGCATGCTTGACATACTTATTGGGTGGACAGAGGTGTGTTGTGTGTTTGCCATGGCAGTCCAACACAACATCACAGACAATTAAACTGCAAATTGATACAATTTTTACACCTTGGCCATGTTTGGGAATTCAGTTTCTCTTTGTCTTTAATCTCTGAAAAAAAATGTCATGATCTGTCTCGCCCTGCATGACCATGAATAGGAGTGAATTTCTGTAGATGACCCAGAACACACACAACTTTTCCAAGTGATGGTGTACAGGTGTACATAAACAAGTATAATATAATATCATATTTTGCCAGTCAAGTGGACCTGGTTAGGATTGATATAAATGTAATGTATGATCCATTCTGAGGAGAATATTTGGGGAAGATTTGTTTGTGTGTTATTGTTAATTTTAAAATTTTACATTTAGGAATGTCTGGGGTTTTTTTCTTATAAAGGTTGCTTACAGGTTTCTGTGTTTGAAAGAACAGGTATTACTTTGTCCTCCATTATGTCTACCCATTATGAATAATAAATAGGATTTAATTCTGAGTCAGCCGGTGTTCATAAAATATATAAAGGGTCTTGTGTAATATCCCGAAGTGAATATGACCTGGTTTTAGGCGTGACCATGAAGTGTTTTGTTGAAAATGAATCCAGCTGTCATAGACTCATGGCGCTTTCATTGTGGAAGCCCGTCCCCTGATGAGTAATGTCAATACTACGATCAAAGGCCCCACACAATGTAAGCTTTTCAGGATTGCCCAAATAAAATATATGCAGGAAATTCAGTGAGAATCTCTCATTATAATACAAGTCGTTAACCCGTGCGTGTGTGTTTTGTTGAGGACAGCAGGATTTACCTGGGTAGAAGTGACATCTGCCGGCAACTACTTGCTAGTGATTGGTGTCATAGGGAAACTAGTGTATTGATTAGTCAGGAATCTGCTGCTCTAGAAAGTGTGCTGTTGGAGACAGACATTGTCACATTGAGATGGACTACTGAGATGAAGAACAAAGAGAGTTGTGTTTAAACTACTGCTTACACCTTTTGTTTTGTCTGGAGATTATACCGACCTGCTTTGTGGGATTAATGGCCAAGGCTAATCAGTTACTATGACCCAACGGGCAATTAAGAAGCTGCACACAATGGGTGAGGAGAAACAAGTGAGTGTGTCTCAGGACAGCAACAAATCAAATAGCCAGTTTCCAGTCAACAAGTATATGGCTTTGCCCGATGGAGTGAAACATGAGGTGGGAGCCCCAGGCAGTCGTGACACCTCATTTCACCTGGCCACTCTACCACGACACAGGTACAAGCATCAGAGTCAGACCGGCCTCCAGCCAGTTAAAGCTATACACACACTGGAGAATGGTGTGGTGTATGGGGCACACAAGTCTGTGAATGATCTGCATCCCAACCCTAGGGCTGCAGTGTATATTACACCAAGTCCACGGGACACAACAGAGGCTGACAGCTTTCTCAGACCAGGTGACCACAGAGACAGGGTAAATACACCAGCATCAAAAGCAGGAGCAAGGGTTGGGGCATCGTCAACCCGCCTTAGTGTGCCCACAGAAGCCTGGACTGAAGGGGGCTCACTCAGTCGACTTTATCAAAAGCGGGCACAGTCCACACCCCCTCAGGTGTTTCAAAGAACTGATAAATCAGGGAACGGAGTTGTACCTGGTCAGCACTCCCCGGTCCACAGTCATACAGTCATACACAACAGTGTACATGGCCAGCTATCTCCACACACTGTTTATGACTCCACACAGACAAATATCACCTCAAGAGGGACAGTGGTTTGGCCTGTGAGGAGTTCTGGCATAGAGCGGATTCCAGCGGCAGGTGAAACAGGTCGTGAGGTGGCCTCTGCCGCACTCACTTCGGCCACACATTATAACAGTCTCCCTGTAAGGACTAAGATAAACAGTGGATCAAGACACTCACATCCCCATATTGGGAATACCAAGGATACTGGTACTTTTGTGACTTCTGAAACTAACAGTGATATTATCATGATGGGGAATTACTACGACCCTCAGGAGTTATACGGGACACAAAATCGAACTTCAAATCTGTTGAAGTCAAAAGCTAAATTTTCGAGTATGCCATCATTGTTTGGTTCAAGGGACTTGGATAAAAAAGCCATGAAAAGGGAAAAGAAAAGAATAAAAGAGGAAGAAAAACGATTAAAAAAGGAAGAAAAAAAGAGGAGAAAAATGGAGAAAAAATATGCTACTGTGAACCCAAACATGATGCCTAGGAATTGGAATTATGTGCAAAAACCTATTGAGGATGTGTATATGAGACCTAAGCTTCGATTAAGGGCAGTGCCTATAGATTTTGAGGATGGTCCCTCGAGCCAACCCCCTACAGTTCCACCTCCCCCAACCCCAAACATTGGACTACGAAGGAAATATTTACATTCCAGTGCTCCCGACTTGTTGCGTTTAGAACAAGTATATGGTTCCTTATCAAGGGAAAGAAAGATATACACAACTTCTATACCAGTTTATCAACAAAGGTGGGTTCTGATGCATTGAATATTTCAATTCTTATAACTTAAAATAATTATCATCAACTGATTACAATAATGTTTATGATATAACTAAAGGACAAACATTGCCTGCGATGTGAGTATCCATAATCATGAACATTATGAAATCCAGTCTTCTGTAACCCACGTAAATTCCTGTGGTTTCCCATAAACACATGGGCTGGGTATTGTGATGTTTACTTCAGTGACTCATGGCTGCATACAATATATCTCTCATCTCAGGATATTTGTCAATCCAGGCCCACTGAGATACTACTTGATAAAAGCTATTCTGTTTCAGCGTGACCACAACATAGTTTAAAACTGTAGACTTGTTGGTATGGAAACTCCAGAGAGAGGGATTGTGTGGAGATTGTGTGTAATGTTGTAGGGACATCCTGTTTGTCAGTGAATGTATGCTACTTCTCAATAACTGTTCACAGTTTCTCCATTCAGTTTACAGATAATTTATGATTGGCATTCCAAATTCTTGGTCACACAATCATCCAGGCATAACATGACTTGTGGAATGTTGATATGTCAATACCAAAGTATATTGTGTGTCTCTTTGTAGTCTGATATTGATTATCTTAGATGGTTTCTAACATCATTGGATTTGATCAATTTCAAATATAGATGTACTCAACTGTTGTGTTTGGGGAATTATGGGTCACCATGGAGATAAGAGATACTTCTGTTTGAATTTACAAGCTTTTTCAAAGAATTAGATTATTGTATTTTCCGCTTGCATTTGTTCGAATATTGTTCGAAATTAAAAATTCATTACAGATGATCAGTAGTGAGTTTATTGTCATAGAAACAGTTTCATTGTTCCCAGCCAAGGTCACATGAAGTCAGTAGACCTTATGTATTATTGTTTTGACTTTATATTGACAGTTTGACCTGTACTGTATTGTGTCGGTATGTAAGTATTGACAGTCCATGAAGTGTGGAACAGCCTGCAGATAGCACACATTATGAGGCAACAGATGGGGATTTATTCCCCGTGTGTAGTAACAATACTATACATCAATAACACATGTTCTCACCTCAACACATATGCTGGCTTATCATACACAAATAAACTTCTTACATATTCATGTACATGCTACTAGTATATATTGTATTGATTTCTTCCAATGGATTGAAACTTATTGAAAGATTTAATAATTTTCATATGATGGCCAGTGATGGGTAATTCAGAGTTTTGTCATGGATTGGTCTGGAACTCTGTGTGTGAATTGTGTATCAAAACAACAAAATGATGCAGTTTTAGTATCTTTTATCATAAGTTCAGTTTTATATCTGCTATATATTTTTAGGATTAAATTTTTTATTTTCTGATTCCCTGTTACAATCTCGACAGTACAGCCAGGGCACTGTAAAGTCTGGTACAAGCTGGTAATGGAATACAGGAATTATTTTCGCTCACCACACACTCAAAGAATTTTTCATCAAATTACAATAAATTGTTTGGGTTCAACATCATAAAAAAATGAAGGACATTATCATGAAGAAATAACTTAAAATTTGCAATAGCATGGTATAGCATCCAGTTTTTATACAACTTATCTTCTTCACTTTTACTAAAGGCTATATTTTTTCAATGACATACCTGTCATGTATAAAGTGTCTGAAATGTTGATGTTGATACCTGCTATTAATATTAAAAATATATAAATCACTGCCTATAGGAAAGTTTTGAGTCAAGTTGGGTTAACTGAGTGAACTTTTGTTATTATTTTATTGATGACTGAAACAAAATTTCAAGCAGGTAGTGAAAAGTATTTCTCTTCCAGAGTTAGGATAAAGTTTAGAGTTTGTGTGAATACTTTTCTTTTCGTCAAAGTTTGACAACAAAAATGTGCAGGAATGGGGTAGTGCTTTATTCAGAACAAAAAGTTGAGTCTGAAATGTCACTGCAGTGTAAGTACAGGAGATGTGTTATACTCGAGACCCTCTGCGTATATGCCACTCTGTACTGTAGAGAGAGAGAGAAGGTTAGCAGGCTTGTTGTGTGTGCCCAGGTGCTGATCACAGTGCTGGTGGTGGTGGTGGAGATTTAAAATGCTTCCAGACAGACTCACCCGACAGCCAAAGCGCTACAGACAACATTACCTTTCAAAACTGGTCAGATTTGGGTAGGAATCTGCTTAATATTTATGTTAAAACTACAGTCGTTTTTTTTTTCACTGATGTTATGCTGCTGTTGGATGTAGGATATCGTAAGAATTTTGGTTCTCTTACTCTTCTTGTTGGAAATATCTTTCTATGATATCTTTTGTTCAGATAGGTTTGATTGGTTTGGAGAGCAAGTCTTTTTTCAATCCAAAGCAATCATTGTCTAGGATTTCATACACTCAGTGAAATAAATACTTCTGTATGATATTGCTTTTAGCTCTTTTCTTGGTTTTATAAGATGTATCGCCACATGAAAGAAATGAATAATTCTTTACAAAGGGCATAATAGGAAGTTCATTTGATCTTGATTGTGTTTGAAAAGAAAGCCTTCAACTGTTGAGAAAAGTAAAAAATAGTAATTTTTTTCCGTCTTAAGGAAACAAGCCTGGTTATTGATGTTTTCAAAAGGCGCAAATATTTTGCTTGAGGGTGAAGCTTGTATCAGAAATAATGATTGGGACTGTTATAACCTAGATGTTATAAAACTCAGTGAAGCAGAAAGACATTCATGAAATATACCTAATGTGAATTCGAAGTGATAGCACTTCAGATGTAGGTCAAATATCAACAATTGACAATACCAATAATTTTAATGTCACATGCCTTTATGCTTGATATTGCTTGGAGGCCTTTCATCTGGAAGGAATGATAATAACAGGTCTCTGGCTATGAAGTGCATACTGTATACTTAAATGTACAGACAATTATTCTTTGTTGGAATATTTCATATTGACATTTAGGTAGTATATGTCTGTTCAATATTGATATTGAATTGGAATAAGTAACTGTGTTTGAATCAACTTAGTACTCAGAATATCTTAACTTGTTTAGGTAAATAAGAGAAATCAGATTATTAAAATAGTGTCATAACAAAGTAAGATACTTTATGGATAACAACTTCTTTTTTGATATATGATGCGTCGTTTCAGCATAGATGCTTATACTCTTGCAATGGTATAAGAATTTATACTGAAGCGTCGCATCATATATAATAAAGAAGTTGTTATCCATAAAGTATCTTACTTTCTTATTACTCATCAGCTTCAAAAATGCCAATCAAACAGAAGAAGCAGACCACATTGTGTTTTTTATGAATTACATTGTGTTAATGTAAACTCATATAATTTGACATTGCTTGAGGCAAACCACACACTTAACAGCTGTTGACATAAGGGCTATATTTTCATGAATGTTAACATACTTTCATCATCTGGTTATCCCTTTTTCTTATAGACATGTCATGTAGAGAACAAAGCTTGCATGTATCTTGAAAACAGTGAAGGTCCCCGAGGCCTGAGGGGGCTGCCCTAGCAATTGCTCTACTGCCTCAGGGTTGGGTTCACCTGCATACAGAAGAACTGATTCATTACACAGATTATATCATCTGGCTGTAAATAACTGAAATTGTTTTCACCCACTTACACCTGTCCATTTATATGTTGAGTTTATGAATGATGAAGAATTCCATTAGCAAGATGTTACTAAACATGTCAAACTGTTATCATTTATGATGTAATTTTATATCAGTACTGTCTTGAAACACTGATAACTCAACATATATCTGATAGTGCTCAGGATCTAATGTTAAGGCATATTGTTCACTCTATTTGGTCATTATTCAATCATGTATCTCTGCTTGCATTATGGACAATGCTAACTTTATAGAAGTCAAATTATTAGATATTCTCTCAAGATGGGAAGGGAAATGATGAACAACTGTGTCAAAGTTAGTCTGTTGCATGTTGTGTTAAATGTATTCTTAAGGTGATAGAGAAGTGCACTTGGTATCTCAAGTCAATGTGTCAACTTAAAGTGTTTCCTTGTGACAGTTTACTTCCTTTTCGGTGAGGCCCAGATCAACATCATATTCTAATCAGCAATAATGCCACCATGAGATTATGTTATCAGTACCTGTTTATACTGAAAAAGGTATGGTTTCCTTTTTTGCTATGTTTGAACCAGGTAAATTATCATGAATGTTATAAGCAATTTAGTGTTTTGTTGAATATTTGGAATAATGAAGAATGTGTTTTCATTATTCATTAGTTTTATGTATTCCTCAACATGGACTTGTATGGATGCTTTTCTGTATTGTTATTGAAAGTTTCATGTTCCACATACATAATTTACTAAAATGGTAAGTGATATGTTACTAAAAGGACATTGCTAAAAAAGCGAGTTTTGAGAAACATGCCAAGATACATTTCCATGCATGTAGTCCAGTAACAAGTTATGTAATGACACCTACACTGAACTCATCATACAAAGTCCATGCTGTTTTTGTGCAATGATTGCATTCTTGTTTATAAATATAGTATTGTTTGATGGATGGTTACTTAAACTCTTAATGCAATCAGTATCAATAATATATGTGACGCTTTAAGTGATAGGATTACAAGGTTGTTAAAATGTGTAAACAAGTTCTTGTTAGGTAATTCAAGCACCTATTGTGTAAAGTGTAATGTGAGTACTGAGAGAGATGCATGTCCTTGTATTGTATACTCTTATGAATAATTACACAACACGATGGGGTTAAGCTGATATGATACAGCACCTTTGAGGTAAGGAGAGTTGGTATTATCAATCTGAACAGTTTGGTATTGATATTACCTGACTTCTGATAGTTTAGATATTGGACATCAGTTATCTGATATGTTTAGATACATCTGTTCAGTTATATAGTCTTATTGTATTAATATCATTTTTATATACAGTTCTCTTTTATCATTTGTTGTGATATTTAAGATGTAGAGCAGTAAATGAATTTTCATATCAAATGTTTTGTTAAGCCATGGTTGTGAAATTAT